TTTACAGAAATCACAACTTTGAAATAGAATTGATAACAATTAAACAAGACTCGTTAAACAAGCTATTAATTATTTATTTCATCACAACACATTTAATTCGGTGTAATTCAAACAAAATTTCAACAATTTACAAACAAATATAATTTGACAAAATCTAAAACAAACTATAACAATTACAAAATTATACATTCATACTAGAAGTTTCTTTGACAAATAACAATTAAACAAGTACAAACGTTAACAAAATACATATACTAAAACAATAAAATTCACAATTAAATATTAAAACTAAAAAGGATAGATTTAATTACAAAAAAATAATAAAATCTACAAGAAAAGGATATTGTGACCACGTACAAGATATAAAAAACTTGAGTGCTCATGTTGAGAATAATGGAGAGTTGGGATGGGTGGTTGGCTGCAGTTTGGGAGGGGAGAGGTGGTATTGGAAAGAAGAAGGAGAAACAGAGGAAGAGAGTGTCGGCAGAAGGGCGGGTATATTATGGTTTTTTCTGATGGAATCATCGATAGAAGTAATCCGTCGGTGATTCCATCACTGACAGTGCCACGTCACTGTATGGCTATCTTAATTTAAATCCCTCAGTCATTCTATCGGTAAAATCATCTGACGTCACCACGCCGTTGCATATTTTCAAACAAACTGTATACCCCGTCGGCAAAACGGTCGGTATATACCGATGGTTTTGCCGACGGATATATGCCATTGGTATATACTGATAGATTTTGAGACTGAATTATGTCCGTCGGTAATTATTACCGACAAAATATCCGTCGATAATTTTGTTAGTTTTCTCTGATTTTCTGGTAGTGTTTAATTGGCTATGAAACTTCAATAATTATGTAATTAAACCCTTGATTTGACCAAATCAACTTTTCAAAATTAAAATTGGACTCAAGAACTTTAACTTCTTTTAATAGAAGGCTAAATTGACTTAAAAGATCAATGTTCTTACAATCAAATCCTCCATAAATTCAATTAAACTTTAGATAAAATTTAATTGAGTCCACAAACATCTGATTTTGGACTTTTCTTTCTCAAATTGAATTTTCCTTGTCAACAGGGCTCTTACCAGTCAAAAACATAATGTCAAATTTCAATTCTTGTATTTCTGAACCTCCTCAACCAATTCCTAGTTATTTTATAGGAGTTTCAATAACCTTTTCGTACTCTTATTATTGCTATTATTTTTTTATTCCTTTTGAATATATTTTTTTATATGTAATATTTTGTATTATCTTTTTATTTTTTTATAGGGAATCCAAAAATGGATAATAACATCAAACATGTGTCTCCATCCAACCTAATAGCGCTTGACTTCTTTATTTTATTTTCTTATATTAACATCAACTCTTCTTTTTTAAATTTAAGTTTTGATTAATACTTTGATGATAGAAGGCATCAAAGATTCAGATAGATAGGGTTAAGGGAAGAGAGTCCTCACAAAATGAACAATAATTCCCGATCAGTCTCTTCGTACATCCATAGCTTATTATTAATGTTCATTTGCAGGGATGTGCACAGGCCATCTTTCTGGATTCTGTAGAAATAAAGGGCTCTTGTAATCATAATGGGCACAGATGAACATTAATATCTTAGATTAATTAAACTAATAAATAAATTTGTTGCTTGCGGTGTGCGATTGTGTGTGCTTGTCATGCCCTCACATTGGGCTGCGTACATCTGTAATTTGTGAAACTAGGGCTTGACTATGCTGCATTTCCTGGATAGTCAAAATCCCCGCACTCATGAAACCTTAATTATTTCTTTGCTTGAAAACAGGAATTATGTCATATCACTGGTAAATCATGCCGCGATCATTGCCACGAGAGCCACCGCTGCCGCAAAAATCTGATAGCAGGAAGCAGCAAGTCCATAAGCAGCATTCGGTTCTGGTGTTGGTGCTGGAGTTTCAGCCTTTACATTGATGACTAGCTTCTGGCCAAGCTCAGAACAATGTTTGCCATAGCCACAGATATACCACTTCTTTCCTGGGCTGCTTAGTGTTATTACGTCGTTTCCGCTGGTCATGGGCTCTCCTGTTGCTGCGCAGTCCTTAAAGCCGGCACCGTCAATAATAACAACAACAAAAACAACAACAAAAAAACTTGCTAATATTATAAAGGACTCTTATACATTATTAAAGCAAAAAATTATATGGTATTAAATAAAATAACATTTAAGTTATTTTCCTAATTAATTTAATAATTTAAATTAATTATTTTTTTTAAAAAAATTAAATCTAAATTAATTTAAAAAAATAAATCAGGCTTATAATTAAAAAGTCTAGGCATGAAGCCTAGGCCCAAATGTATGATTTTGTATTTTTTTTTTCTTTTTCTTAGGAATTGATGACATATGCTTCTATTAAAAAAAAAAAACAAATTATAAGTTATTTAGAATATATGCAGTATAAATGGATATATCTATTCGAGAGATTAGGAATTACATGTATTATAAATAATTGTCAATTGTTTATAAATATGTGTGTGTGTAAACATTTAGTTATTTATTTCTAATTACTTGTATGCAAATACATATTCAACCTTAAGAAAACAGTTAAAAATAACACACATATTAAGGTTTAAATATATGAGGTTTATATTATTGAAGAGATTTTAATATTTACTTTTTATTATTTTGAGTTGCAAGTTCTAAGACATGATGATAGTGATGAACTACTTTCAAAATGAGAATATGTCAATATTTTGCATCCTAGATGACTATTATTGAAGAATATAATGAGGAGAAGATACTTGAAAAACAAGTTGTAGACACATAATTATATGTTATTCAATTGTAATGAATTCAAATCTTTTATTTAATAAGTCAATTTTATAATTATATAATTTTGAATCATTTTTGTTTATATTTTTATATAGACTCAATTCAACTTCTTATAAGTAACATCATCAATTATTGTTCCCTAAAATCTCAAATGCAATTAAAACTTAATTTTTTTAATTACAATATGAATAATTTATCATGTATTTTAAAACACATATGAGTATTTAATAATTCACAACTCATAAAAAAATATTTAATTATGTTTTGACCTATACAATTAATGGTTATTAATTAACTTTAAACAAGTTTTCAACATGGAAGGCAATGCTAGTAGACTAAAATTCCTATCTTTAGATCGTGAAACATAGATGTAATGTTACTATGGGTATTTTGTTAATATAAGTCTTTCATACCAAAAATTATTGTGATTGTAGAAAATTATAATAAATTACTAGAGGTTATTGAATCACAATTACGATATCATAGTGAGCAAGATACATTTATTTTATTTAAGTTTTATTGTATGATATCGATAGACGAATTAGACTAAATCTTTATCGTAGTATGTTTGAAATAAATAAAAACAGGTTGACATAGCAACATCAACAATGTTTCTATTTTCCTTTTGCCCCTTATTCTAAAACAATCATCTGTATTTGTCCAAGCTCAAAAAACCACAAAATAATAATAAAAATTTGTTGGCTTTACTCTTTAAAAAGTAAACAAAACTCTTTGTTTGAATCAATTTTTGGTTAGATATGATTCTACATATGTGTATATTTCAATTTGATTAGTTTTTTAATTAAAAACCAAACTAAACTGAAAATTCTCACCACTACTTCATCCTTTCAAATTTATTTGTTCATGTTGTTGTTTGTAGGTTTTTTTTTTCATTTTGGTTCTTAAAGATTTTTATTTTTTCATAATTTTCAAGTTATGTTGACATGGTTTTTTGTTGGGATTGGTTTCTATTTACATATTTTTTCATATTCAATGTGTCATAGAATATTCAATGTTAAATTAAAGCTTTACTTGACAAAATAGAATTTTAGGGTATTGTTAAATAAAAATTTGAAAAAACAAGGATCAAAATTAATAAAAATAAAAAATAGAGGGGCTTTATAACAAGTCATAAAAAACATTGATTTGGTTTCTCAAATAAAAAATTATACATAATTGGTTAATATTGTTTAAGGTTTTACACTTCAATCTAAAAATTTATTTTCTTTATACTTCAATATGAGAATATTTAGAAAGGAAAGAGAAAGTCATTGAAAAAAAGTTAAGGAGAAAGAAAATGTTTGGCTAGTCATATTTCATCCATAAAAAAGCAAAAATTATTATGAAAGGGTTTGTCTTCAATAAAAAAAGTTTAATAAAGATGGTATTGATCTATAAACATATTAAAAAAATTTATTGGGACTCGAGATTTTAGTTTTTTTTTTTATATAATTTTAACTTTTTGAAATATTAGAGGGTTTTATGATTGAAATGTTTTTATTAAAGTTAATATAATTTTTAAGATGTTTTTAAATTAAAATATACAAGTTAAAAAATAGGTTTTAGAGCTTGAATCTCTTCTTTTTTTTTACTAGAGATAATTGAAAAATACTTAAGCAAATGACATATCATCTAATAAAATAAATAATATGATTTGCTCATTAAAAAAAAAAAAAACTAGGTGTGCGGGCACTAATGCTTTTTTAATTTTATCAGTATGTATGTCTAACCTATTTATTAACAACGTTTTACCTCTTTATTTTTCTTTTTTATTTTAATATTAACAGGGTTTTTTTTTTAATTTAAGTTTTGATTAATACTTGATGATACAAGGCATCGAAGATTCAGATAGATAGGGTTAAGGGAAGAGAGTCCTCTCAAAATTCACAATAATTCCTGATCAATCTCTTCGTAAACCCATAGGTTATTAATAATGTTCATTTGAAGGGATGTGCACAGGCCATCTTTCTGGATTCTGTAGAAATAAAGAGCTCTTGTAATCATAATTCTAGATCATAGTGGGCACAGATGAACATTCATATCTTAGATTAATTGAACTAATAAATAAATTTGTTGCTTGCTGTGTGTGATTGTGTGTGCATGTCATGCCCTCACATTGGGCTGCGCGCATCTGTAATTTATGAATCTAAGGCTTAACCATGCTGCATTTCCATGATAGTCAAAATGCCCCACACTCATGAAACATGAAACCTTAATTATTTCTTTGCTTGAAAACAGAAATTATATCATATCAGTGGTAAATCATGCAGCGATCATTGCCACGAGAGCCACCGCTGCCGCAAAAATCTGATAGCAGGAAGCAGCAAGTCCATAAGCAGCATTAGGTTCTGGTGTTGGTGCTGGAGTTTCAGCCTTTACATTGATGACTAACTTCTGGCCAAGCTCAGAACAATGTTTGCCATAGCCACAGATATACCACTTCTTTCCTGGGCTGCTTAGTTTTATTATGTCGTTTCCGCTGGTCATGGGCTCTCCTGTTGCTGCGCAGTCCTTAAACCCGGCGCCGTCCACCTTGAAGAGATTGTGTGGTGGCTTGTAGTTGAACACTGCAAAAATTTTGCAGAAGATCAATAGCATCAAAACTCCCCCCTTTTTCTTTAAAGACATAACTAAAAACAAAAAACAAAGAAAATAAAATGCACTTTATTGTATTGATAAATTTACCTAGTGTATCACCAACATGAAATACTTTGCCACTAGCCCAGGTTGTGTAGTTAAAATTAACGGTCCACCCTTGTTCATCACCAACAATGTGCTCGGCTGCCATGGTGAGCGTGGGAAGAAAAATCGTGACAAGGGCCAGGGCAATAAGCTGACAAGAAGCCATTGGAGATTAGTTAATATAATTGGTAAGCTACAATGCTTAATCTCTAATGTCAGCTCCAAAGTGGGTCTGGTGAAGGGAAACATATAGGCCTTTGGAAATGCATAGAAAATCCCGACGTAACTCCACCGGCGACGGTCGGCACTAGAAACAACTTTGGGTTATACGTACTAGCCACCAAAAAGATTAGAAATGGTTCGACGTGTATGTATGGTGTGGAGAAACTGACCAGAAAATGGTGATTACAAGTTAAATAAACGTACTTCTGGAGTTGTTTATGGTAATATTCGAATGTTTTGTGAATGTCTTATTCATCTTCTTGTAGACGGTTTTGATATGATCAAAACCAAGAAATTTTCACCTGTTGACGAGGTCTAGAGCAGCTTTCTCCGAGGAGTATATACAGCTCCAAGGAAGTATCTTTTCTTTCTTTCTCTGTCACTATTTTGTTTTTTGTACACAGATTTTAAATGATTTGGTGCCTAGAAAAGAAGTATACCTTCTGACTATCATATTAATCTCCTAATTGTTTAGTATATATTAAACAATTTGGGAGAAAAAGAAGCATCTCCTGATTATATATCACAATCCCAATCTTTACATCTTCACATTAAGTTCCTACGTGTGAAAAATATTTTTGAAAAAATAAAAATATTTTTTCAAATTTATTTGTTATTTTAATATACGAATATAAAAAATTAATTAAATCTTAAATAAATACTGTCAAAGCTTAAGTAAATATGCGTTGGTAAGTATGTTTTATCTTGCCCGCCATCAGAACAAAGCTGTGTACATGAGTCAAGTCGGAAAGAAGAAAACGAGCATAGGCTGCACTCATTTTCACTGTTGCTAGCTATCAAGAAATAAGTTTCCAAAAAGAAAATAAAAAAGGAAAAAAGAATAGAGCTTTTATAAAACGAATACGGTGTGTATAAGGATAGTGTGAAGTTCTAAAAGAATAGTGGTAATCCGAAAGGAATATTTCCTTTACTGGATACTAGAGTAATTGGTACGCACTTCATGATAGGTCCTACCAATTTCTTTAAAATATAAAAAGAATTGTATTTGCATTTTTTATTTGGAAATAAAGTTTTGATTATGAGCTCCAAATTTTACCTATATAAAGTGAACATATTTTAAATATAAAGATAATTTTACCTATATAAAGTGAACATATTTTAAATATAAAAATGATGATATATTTGATTAATTTTAATTAATTAGAGTTAATTTGTGAAACTAGCAATTTGAGTCATGGATTTAATGTAGATTAATAATATAGATTTTAGAAATATTTTTTATTTAATTACATAAAAATTAAAATATAAGCTATTAGAAAAACTATTGGATAATGATGATGATGATAAGTTGTCTGAGACAATAAGTAATTTGTTATCTACTATTCCTAAAATTTGATCATTGTTATGGTGGTTAAAAAATTAAGGAGATGAGTTATTTGGCCTAAATTAGGGTTATTAATTACTAAGATATCAAATATTGATTCTATTTTTTTTTTTATTTATAAGAAATAAGAATTATTTATTTTTTCTATCGATCACAAGAAAATCTCAATTCAGAAAAATAATCATTGTGACACTATACATATACGACAATATGCATCAATGTATACAAATTACTTTTTGTATAAACTTGTCAAAACAATCAAAACAAAAAGGATACATATACCATACAAGATTCTAAAATTACATGCATGGACATACAAGATTCTAAAATTACATGCATGGACTGAAAAAAACAAAGGATAAAGTTTTAAGATCATAAACCAAAATAATTAGACAAATAAGCACAGATGTTTAGTTTGTCACTAGATTAGGGCTCTTGCATTACTGGCTCGCCCTATGTTTCTAGTAAAATATTTAGATATATAAATAAAAAAAAGTTTTTAATGATAAATAAAAATGAAATTGAAAAGATTGAGAAAAAAAATATATCAAAATATTTAATATCGCAATACGAGTTATTTATCTAGTTGTATTTACTGAATATGTTTATTAAAATTAATTTATAATAGAAATCAACACACATATAAAATTCATTTAATAAAATAAAAAGAGAAACAATATTATGCAAGACTGAACATATTAATCATATTAAAAAAATTATATATTTTTTTTAAATAAAATTAATCTATATAAAATATAAAAACAATTTTACAAACTAACATATAAAAACATAAACACATTCAAAATAATTAAAACAATTGCTATTTAAAAAAAATACTAGGTAAGAAAAAAATTATAGAGAAGGGGGTATTAATTAAAATTAATTAAAATATAAACTTATAAATTATTATTATTATTATGGTATAAATTAAGAAAATCTAAATTAAAAAAAAAAGAGCTAAGGGTTGTTTGGTTTAATAAGCCAAGTCAAATGCTCGACCTATTAAGAAAAAGCTAGTGTGCAATCCTGCAAGGTCAGGTCTACGCACATGGGTTTTTAATTATGTTTTTAAGTCGTCAAGAGTTTCCTAAATTCCAATCATTATGGTAACTATAAAAATAGGGTTTTTATTTTTTTTTCATCTAAAAACTCATTTGCAATCTATTTTTTACCGCAAAAACCTGAAGAACACTGCAAATCTTGTAAAACCAATCAATGACCTCTAAAAAAATAAAAAATAAAAATATATCAAAACCCAAAATTAACCTAAAATTAAAAATTTTTCTGAGCTCAAATATTTTTTTTAGACACTTTGAAGGGGGAGAATCTAATTTAAACTCTGGTTATTGTATGGAACCATTTGACATAAAAATATAGTATTTTGGTGATCGAAATCATCACCAGTTATAATTTTCTCCTTCTACTCCAAAATTCGGCAAGCCCTTCTCTTCTTCCAAAACTAGAAAGTGAGAAAATAAGGTTTGGTACCTAAATTGAATTCTTAGAAATTGAAAAAACCAATTACCTAATAGCTAAAAAAGATTGGGGGCTAAATTGAACTTTTCAAAGAAATCTCAAAGCCACCACCTATTTTATCCTTTTTTTTTTCTTTTCAATTCTTTGTCTTTCAATTCAACTCTCCCTACCAAAATAATATGCTATTGAAAATATGCTATTGAGTGCTAATTTAGATTCAAAATAGCTCACTTATATAAAGTAAAAATATAAAGATCAAATTAAAAATTAAAAAGAAATGCATTACTCTAGTCCACAACACCCTCTTTCATTTTAGTATATTTGTTATAACAAAAGCATTTTGAATACATTAGATGTTCAAAGAAAGTATATTGTTCATATATTTTGAAACTATAAACATGTAATTTCATAAATCATAGCAAACTTGTAAACAATATTAAAAATATACAAAGATCATAGCATACATACTAAGTATATATCTAAAGACACAAAAGATACTTAAAAAATAATCATAACATACATATTAATGTACTAAATTAAACAAAACCGAAGAAAAATATTTACATGTTGAAGTGCTTTGATGAAGCTTTGCTATTTTCAAGGATGTATCCTTGATACTTGAGACTTTATTACTTGTTATTTCATGCTAAAGATGTTTGCAATAAGATTTATGAAATTCTAATAACACCATATTATTTAGATACACTTTTTTAAAGACTTATTAGCAAAGTTTATGAATCAAAAGTACTATAACTCAAGTTTATTTTAAAAATAAAAAATCTAAGCTTAAAATGAAGCCAAAAAAAGAAAAAAACACTAAAAATATAAAAATATAAGGCGAGAAGAAGTCTAAATATTTCATTAAAAACAATGTAGAAAATTCTTTATTCACCCTTTTCTTACAGTAAAATTTAAAACATCAATGATAGAATTATTTTAATAATTACCAAAATTAATTTCCATCATTACCAGCCTTAATTACCTATCATAAAACAATAATTAAACTTGAGATTTTTGGCTTTAAATACATGTTTTTTTGGCTAAACAAATTAGATGTTGAATCTTTAATATCTTGAGTTTTTAGATGGGCAAGATAAACTGCTATGTTGGACTCTCGCATCAGGGAGACCTTCAAAAGTCACCTTTTTGTTCCTTTTTTTCCATAAAAATTAAAACTTTCACAAGTTTTCCTAAAATAATAAGGAATGCCACCTCTGTAAACTTCCCACAGAGATTAGTTTGCGTGATGTACTCAATCTTAATGGTCATGTTTCCCATAGCACTATGGACTTTAGGATGATACCAGTTTGAAGGTAGTTCAGGATGATTTTATTTGACCACTAACGAGAGAATGCGCACAATCAACATTTTTTTCCTTGACAATTTCTCACCCCATCCAGGTCGTTTCAGGTAACAGTAGGATTATAATTATGGATAAAACGACAAATAAAACACCAAGCATAAGCTGCTGCCACGTCGTTTATTACAAACGTAAAGTCTTTCTAGCGTTGTCCTAAATTTTGGAGGGCAACGATTTAAAAATAAAAGGCACCCATCATTCACGTGGAAAACAAATATTTACCGACTCCGTTGAGGTGGCAACTCCACTGCAGCCCATTTGTCATCGCTGATGGGCAACACGGTGCTGCCTGCAGGATATGTCATTTCGGTCCCACTTGGATGAATCAGAACCCTAATCCCTCGGACCATAAACTCGATACCTGAGCTCGTGGCTAAATTAGTGGGGGAATCAGAAGGCAAAGAAGATGAAGTCAAGTCATGTTTAGGCGAGGAAGAGATGGCTGCGGCAGGTGAAGGTGTACTGCTTGCCATAGCTGAACAACTGTCTTGCCCTGGAGATGCAATGGAGGGATTATGATTGCTAACTACAGAATTTGCTGCCAGCAATTCAAGAGCTAAATGTTATGAGATATGGATGCCATTAAGATATCATGCAAGCATGAATCGCAATTTTGCCTATGAGAGAAGAAAAAAAAAATACTTTATAAGGAACATGGATGGAAATTTTTGAGTTCATATTATATCACAGTTAAAGCTTCTACCTCGAGGTAGGTTTTATTCACGTCGAATCATCTAAAATAGCATGAAGACGCAAAGCTTGAGTTACTCTCTATCCTGGCTTACCGACTTGTACTCTAAGATACTAAAAAACGTTTGAATATCTGTGCACTATGTTATATGTTGTCATATGAATGCACACATCTGCCATGGATATGCATAAATACATAAAATAAACTAATTAAGCACCGTTCAACGTCATCAGAAATCTATAGGTCACAGTTGAAGTAGATTCTTATATTGAACAAATTCTCTGGTTAGAATCAACGTAGATTGTGCAAATGAAAAGGCTTAGCTTCAACCTGGTCAAGAGACTTGACAGGTCTGAAAATTTATCACCACCTACAAACGCATCTGCTTATTGTGCCCCTCCAAATCAAATATCTGAAAAATCTAGTCACCAATCTAGATGCTTTCAGATTTCAATTTCCACCATATGTTGGCAGAAAGCATTTGCTCATGGTTTTGGAGATATTAATGAAAACGTATAGAAGAGATATTTATTACAATATGAAACCATCTTCTAATGCCCGCTAATAGAAATGCAAGATGCTTGGGGAATGTTTAGAAACTCACCTCTGTACTCTTCAGCTTGTTCATTGAGCACGGGCAATTTAGGTTGGACGTTTTGTTGAAGATAAGCAGTGAGACCTGCACGCAGGTTAGAAACTGAGAACTGAGGAGTTTCGCTCTGAAGACCTTCTTGGGATTGGCAAGCAGGGGAGAGAGGTGAGCTCCGAGGAGCTTCTTGAAATTGGGAAGTAGAGAGAAATCCAGGGCTCCGACTTGAGTAACCTGACCAAAAAAGCCATACAATCTGATTAAGCGCTACAATATAATCTTTACTTTATAATTAGTTTTAATACTTGTATTGCGGCATCTCTATTCCCCCCTGCTTATTAAAAAGCTTAGAAGAACTATGAAGGGCATATGTTAATCATAAAAATGAGTATCAATTTAGAAGCTATAGTAAGAATGTCTCCACACTAATAAGTTGATTAACTGGGTACCTAAATCATGAAAGACTAAATAAGATTAAAATAAAGCATATAATAAAAGTACGCTGTTTTAGAGCTGTGAATGCAATCTTTGCAGCACTCATCTCTGCTTGCTTCTTAGTTTTTGCTCCTTGTCCTGTAAAAATCTCTCCTTCTATCTCCACTTTTGAAATGAAAGTAGGCGCATGAGCTTCACCAGATCTGTCTGTCCAATAAGTTGGCAAACCACAACCTTCTCTCTGAGCCAGTTCTTGTAAAAGACTCTTATAGCCAAACCCATCCTAAAAAGAAAAACAATAAATTACATAAAGAAGAGTAATCATGTGTCTGAAAGATACAAGCATTAAAATCGCATTCGTAGCCATCATATTTTTGCATCTCCACAAATCTTAGAAAACTAACCTCCTCAACTCCATTTGACAATAATGACATCAATGCAGCTTTTGCAGCTGCAAGTTCAGCTTTATTCAATGTGGGAAAATATCCTTGACTCTCGTAGGTTTGTCCATTTACTGTGACCTTGCTCTTAAAGCGACTAGCATGACGAGGACCCACACGCTCACAAGAATACACAGGTGGAGTGAAATTTCTCTTTCGAGCATAGGTTTGCAGCTGGTTTTTAAACAAGTGCTGCATACCTGTAAGCCAGGAGCAAATTCAGATGAATGTGTCAGATAGTGACTTTTCATGAAAAACACAAAATAAACTGGAGCATTATTTAAGACACAAAATAAGGTGATTCAATATCAGGTTTCCATGGTCAGTAGATGCTACCACCTTCTTCAATCAGAATTCAGTTTCTCATTTGCTGCAATAACTTGGCAACCAACAGTGCGTTAAATATAAATGTCCCTCCTTTCCCCTTTTAGACTATACAATACAAACCTATAAGCTACCAAATGAATTAAATTACCCAATTACAAAACAATGATTTTGATTACATGCAGCAGATTTCAACAGCCAAGCACAACAGAGTACAGAGAAAATACAATAACAATAATAAACAAAGAAAGGACTGATAGAACAATTGAAGTAGAAGTTCTTATGTTTTCCTCCATTCTATATTCCCAAAAAAAAGTACTAAATGAGACACAAGGGAAATAGACAGAACAGAAGTTATCAGAGCAAGCTTAGTAGCATCTTAAAAGAGAAGTTATCTAGCTCTATTTGTTGAAATTTGGGCATGGGGAAGAGTCCATTCACCACAAGTATGGCCGGAAAGGAAGATTCATGATCTAACCCATCTTCAACAATCAAGAATTTTCATAAACTCTGTTAGATATGGCAGCTCAGCCATGTGGTTATGGTTATTATTTAGTTCCTTTCTTTTTTCTCATTTCAGTTCACTTCATTTCTACAAATTTTTTTAGTGCGTGATAGAATTTTTTAAAAAAGAAGAGTGAGAATTTTTTTAAAAAGAAGAGTTAAGTTTCACGTACAGAAATATTAGAAACATTCTAAGACTCCAATGTATGTCAAAGAAGGTCAATTCTCAAGATAATAAATCCTCACATTTAAAATTCAGATCCAAAGTACGAGCAAAAGGTCAGCCAGAAAGAGAACAGACTTGATGCGGAAAAGCATAATATAGAAAACCTAAGAAGGTAAGCATCAAACGACAAAAAAGCTACATCCATCGGAAGAAGATAACAATTTCCATCCCAAGAAAAGCCATAAAAGTCATAAACATTGCAAGAGTGAATTTCATAATGATTGTGAAAATTGTCTCCAAATTTTTTCAATAATCTCACAAAAAATTATACTATTTAACTATGATAATTTTTACAGATACATGAATAACATGCAAGAAAATAGTTAATCTAAAGATAACCAAGAAAATTTATTCCTAAAATAAAAACAAAGATGGACCCACACACGCAAGTAATTGAAGTTATACACAGATCTGTCAAATTTAAAAGATCAAGAAGAAAAACTGATTCCAACACTTTAACATATTTAACAAGACACACGAGTAATTGAAGATAAATATATAGATATCAAGCTATTTGTAAAGCTAAAATGCATACAGCGCAAACTAAGGGATTCCATCATTATTTTGTGCAGAAATTGTATAAAGGCAACATATTTGAGATTGTTACCTAAAATTTTCAAATCAAGAGTTAGAACCTTATTGTTCACGTATGAAGCAGTTGATTTTGGTTTAAAGTTAGTGAATGAATTAAAGTGGCTACAGAGAGAAGGTTAGTGTCAATGAGAGCCCATAGCATTTCCTTAAAAAAGATCCCATCAGAAAAATTGCATGGCAGCAGCACCAGGAAGACCATAAGAGGGGGAGCACTGATGATAATTAAGCTTAAGATACTGTATAAATAAACTGTTTTCATGCCTGCCAATTTTGAGAGGAAAACCTATTATTTCCATAACAAATGGTTGCTGTTCAGGAATGCAACCATGAGTATCAAGCACATCCAACTGACTCCACTCCAGCACTAAGTGTTGATTTTGTAAGGGAAAAAAAAAACTATACTATATTTGCTCTCACCTCCAAAAATCTCATCACTTTTGGCTTTTGCCACGGCTTCATTTGACAGGTGAGTTGGATTTGCATCTTGTAGGTTTAATTGCAATTTCCCTTCAGGACATAGACGAGTATTCTCCCCAGCGCTTCCACTGGAACAGCCTGCAGAAACTTCAGCATAACATCAGTTTCTTCATTTCATGATGCAGTGTAAATAAGCATAGGCACCACTAGATTGATTTATCATAAAACGCTTCAAGATTACACACATCAATCAATCATTCTATTAACAAAAAATAAATAAATTATAATAATCAAACATTATTATGCACGCATTCATTCTGAAACATACATTAATTAGAATGACGCAGTGTAAATAAGCATAGGCACCACTAGATTGATTTATCATAAAACGCTTCAAGATTACACACATCAATCAATCATTCTATTTACAAAAAATAAATAATTATAATAATCAAATGTTATTATGCAAGCATTCATTCTGAAACGAACATTAATTTACAAAGTAATTTCATTTCATTAAAACAATTACATCCATAGGAAGAAGATAACAATGTCCCATCCCAAGCAAAGCCAAACATTGCAAGAGTGAATTTCATAATTATTGTGAAAATTGTCTCTAAATTAGGTTTTCAATAATCTCACCAACAATTACACTCTTTAACTATGATAATTTTTACAGATACATGAATGACATGCAAGAAAATAGTTAATCTAAAAGAAAACCAAGAAAATTGATTCCAAAAATAAAAATACAGATGTACCCACACGCACAAGTAATTGAAGTTATACACAGATCTGTCAAATTTAAAAGATAAAGAAGAAAAATTGATTCCAAAACTTGACATATTTAATAAGACACACGAGTAATTGAAGCTATTTGTAAAGCAAAAATGCATACAACACAAACGAAGGGATTCTATCAATATGTTTTCAAGAAATTGTGTAAAGGCAGCATATTTGAGATTTTTACCTCAAGTTTTCAAATCAAGTGTTAGAACCTTATTGTTCACGTATGAAGCAGTTGATTTTGGTTTATATTTAGTGCATGAATTAAAGTGGCTACAAAGAGAAGGTTATTGTCAATGAGAGCCCATAGCATTTCCTTAAAAAAGATCCCATTAGAAAAATTGCAAGGCAGCAGCACCAGGAAGACCATAAGAGGGGGAGCACTGATGAAAATTAAGCTTAATACAACATTTTTTTTTTTAAAGGAGGTTGATTAATCTTTTGATGCCATAAAGACAACTGATTTAGCAAAAAAAATTCTAGATGCTGCGTATATAACCTCTTTTCATGCCTGTCAATTTAGAATGGAAAACCTATTATTTCCAAAACAATTGGCTGCTGTTTCTGAATGCAACCATTAGTATCAAGCACATCCAACTGGCTCCACTCCAGTACTAAGAAACGTTTAATGATTTTGTAAGGAAAAAATCAATACTAAATTTGCTCTTACCTTCAAAACTCTCATCATTTATGGCAACTGCCACAGCATCATTTGACAGGGGAGTTGGATTTGCAACTTGTAGGTTTAATTGCAATTTCCCTCCGGGAGATAGACAAGAATTCCCCCCAGCACTTCCACTTGAAAAACCTGCAGAAACTTTAGCATAACATCAGTTTCTACATTTCTTGATGCAGTGTAAGTAAGCATAGCCACCAATAGATTGATTTATCATAACAAGCTTCACGACTACAAGTATATTAACAAAAAAAATAAATTATAACAATCAAACGTTATTATGCAAGCATTCATTCTTAATCAAACATTAATTTACAAGGTAATTTCATTTCATTAAAATAATTACCCCAAAAAAGTCTTTATAATATCTGATACAGTGCAATTAAAGCACTAGGAAATATATATATATATATAAAACAGAAATGAAGCATTGCAAAGAAACAAAAGGAATTCAATTGCTAGAAAGAGGGGAGGAGGAATGGTGAGAAAGGAGGGAGAAGTGGTTATAGGCGAGCTTAGCAGTGTTGTTTTGAGCTTTCTTATAAGAAGAAGAAGAAGAGGGGAAAGGAGAGGAAAAGAGGACAGTATTGATGGTGACGGTGGAAAAAAAGAGAGGAATGTGATCTTGTTTCAGTTTAGTAACTTCATAGGTAGGGAACTCCCATCATATGATTCTGGTTTATAGTTAGTGAATGAATTAAAACGGCTGCACAGAGAAGGTTACTGACAATGAAGAGGAAACATGAAAGAAGAGAAACTGGGGAACAAAAACCTTGTTTCAAGTGGAGTGCTATTATGCTCCATTGCCAAACAGGCTATCAAACCCCAATATGACCATTTTTAGGACCCAATTACAGTTTATAATTTATTATGCACCTCACAAATATGGTTATAGCAATAAGTCGAATGTTTCCATAAAGTTTTGTTTAGAAAGTGATAGAGCATCACAGACACTTGTGGGTATCTGAAACCTGTGAGCTAGGCCATGTGTGGACTACAAGCACCATGGACCCAACCAGGATACCTGCGAATCCAGTGTCAGGCACTCATGTGTGTCCATAGCATTTCCTTAAAAAAGATCCCGTTTGAAAACTGCATGGCAGCAACTCTAGGAAGACCATAAGAGAGGGAGCACTGGTAAAATTAAGCTGACTATGAACAGTTTTTCTTTTTTTTCTTTTTTAAAGCAGGTTGGTTATGTAGGTTATCTTTTGACACCATAAAGACAACTGATTTAGCAAAAAAAATTCTAGATGCTGTGTATATAACCTGTTTTCATGCCTGTCAATTCAGAATGGAAAACCTATTATTTCCATAACAATTGGTTGGTTTTTTTGAATGCAACCATCAGCATCAAGCACATCCATCTGACTCCACCCCAGCACTAAGAAATGTTT